ATAGAAATATTGACAAGACAACCCTACAAAGATTCATAAAGAAGAAAGAGAAAGGGGAAGTAAAATCAGTAGCCTGGGGTGCAGTAGCTGAGGCACAGAGAATATTCACAGATGAGATGGAGGAGGAGCTTGCCAAACACTTGAAACAACTAGCTACCAGTTCCATGGCCTTCCTCCAGTTAAGTGCCGTGAACTGGCATTTGAATATGCAGAGAGAAAAAATATCCCTGTCCCTGCCAATTGGACAGAGAAACAATGTGCAGGTAGGCTAGGGTGTGCAAGAGATCACATGATCCTGTAGGTTAACTTAGAACACATGATCTTGCCACAAAGCTAAATCTTATAATAATGAATTCTCTACTCTTTAGGAATAGAGTGGTTTGGCAGGTTCCTAGCACGTCGCCATCTCTCTGTCCGAACTCCGGAGGCAACATCCCTGGGAAGGGCTACAGCCTTCAATAAAACTAGAGTGAAACTACAATTCGCAGAGATATTTTCCCTGAGGAAGCGTTTGCACCATCCATGGTGTCAGACCGGCCAAACCCTGAGCTGCAGCCTGCATGCACTGGTCCATCCACTTCAGATGATCCAGATGGTCCACTCCCTGCAGATGAACCACCTGCTGCAGATGCTAATCCATCCACTCTGCGTGGTCAACATGGATGTGCCTCGCCAGCTGGCTCAGATGTTCCCAGCCGACCTGGATATGTGTCTCCTCCTTCTACCACTTCCCAAATGTCCCCCCAGAGCACAAACCAAAATAAAGCGTGTGAAGACAGCCATCCTAAAAGATACTCCTGAGAAGCAGGCAATAGAAAAGGCTTATGAAGAGAGACAAAAGAAACTGGCAGGGAAAAAACAAAATAGTAAAGAAAAGAGAAAACTGAAAAAGAAAGCACCCAAAAGGAAAATCATAGATAGCAGCTCTGAGGAGAGTGATGTCCCTGTCCCACTTGATGATGAGAGCCCTGAGGATGAGAGAAGTGATCCTGGAAACACAGATCTGAACGTGGGTGACTTTGTCCTAGTCCAAACACAGGAGTCTCCGTTACGTTGGCATGGTTGAGAAAGTTGAGGATGACGAAATACTTACACAATTCCTCAGAAGAATCCAGGGAAATAAGAAACAGTGGAAGAGACCCACGTTTGCTATAAAAGAAAATGATGTATCACATGTTCCTAAAGGTGATGTGGTGAAGAAGCTGCCTCAACCTAATAGGCCTGGAGGAACCACACGGAGAGAGCAACTCTTCACCTTTCCCTGTAACCTTCAGGGCTGGAATGTAGAGTAGGCCTTGTTATAGAGTATGAGGCTGATGTTCTAATCCAGGTGGGTCTAGCCTGTGTCCTGAGTCCCAGGCTGTTCTAGCTGGTTCTGATGGTCCTATGTTCTGAGCCCCAGACTGTGTACTAGCTGGTTCTGATTATGGGTCCATGTTCTGACCCCCAGACTGTGCACTAGCTGGTTCTGATTGTCCTTTGCTCTGACCCCCAGACACTCGCTGGCTCTAAAGGTCCTGTGTTCTGACTCCCACACTGTGAATGTTAATTAAAACATTTTGAATTATATTATGTTGTATTTGATTTACTTTTTAGTACTTTGGGTTACTTTCAAGTGTTTAAAAAAATGTGCTTAATTGACCAATCCCCATGATTCTGATACTAGTCCGACATTAGTTTTGGAATGTGTGGTTGTCAATCTAGCTATCGGTTTCTAATTGATACAACATGTGTTGTTATGGTAGTTTTAAAGTGGAAAACGTAAGTGGATCAGCTTACCCCCAACTGGTTCACTTTACCCCCTTGATTTCTCTGGTCTGTCTAAGTTTACCCCTGAGCTGGGGTAAAGTGAGACACAAGACCACTTTTTTTTAAACAATCATATTTTCATTGCCCTTTGTCCTGAAGACATTCTGATAATTTCCATAGCTAGGAAACATCCTGAATTAATAGGAAATGTGTACATTTTACTGATATATCATTTTAGCTCGGCTAGAGGGGAGCAAATGTAAAAAATGGCTCACATTACCCCGCTCTCCCCTACAGATAAATGTGGGCTCACTATTTGGCAAGCAACCGGTCACAGTTGCCCTGTTTATCTCATGTCTTATAAAAGCTTATTAATGATTTATAAAGTGTTCACAACCTAATTAATAAATGAATTACAAACTATTCGTAAACCCTTTATAAGGCTCTTATTGTAAAGTGGTACCAAATAAATAATAAAAAATACATGCATTTGCTGTGACATTGTCGAAACTGATAGTGAGATTTTGCATTTTTGAGAATCAGTTAATAAAATGAAAAAATAAATATAAAATGAAATAAAATGGATAAATAACAAAAACTAATAAAATTAAATACATATTTAAATACAGAAATAATTGTAACGCAGTTGGAATGTGTCTGCTACCAGCAAATAATAACATTAAATGCATTAAAGCAAATGAAGGACAAAAAGCTGAAAGCATTTGTGTCCTTTAAATGTTGGCCTGATTTCCTCCGCCCTCCCTCATCGGCCCATTACGACCCATTACAGCCTCTGAATTGGGGCGCAGGACTTCAGGCAGAAAGGCTCCGAGCGTCACCCCATTAACCTTCGCTGGACCTGATCAGTGACGGATTAAAAAGCCTGTCTGGTTCAGAGCTGAATCACAGACCTCATTAAAGCTGCCGGAGCACAGAAGGCCAGTGTTTTCTCCTCTGACCTCCGACAGACCCGTCTCCAGCTGGACGTATGGCAGAAGCACCTGAACGCCTCCTGTCTTTACACGTCGTCGGACAGCAGGGACGGAAAATAAACATTTGCAAAGTAATCCCCCCGAGAGCATCGTGTTCTCCTTCACAGGACAGCAAGTGCACGTAAATCAGAGCAAAGAACACCCTTTAAAATGGTGGGAAAGTGTAATACTCTTTCTTTCTTTCGTATATTCAGTGTATCCACTTATTGAGAATTGTACAAAATAATTAATGTTAAGTGTTTTTTAAGTTATATATTTAATTTCTCTTTGGTTACCTCATTTTCTAACTATGCATATACTGTACATCTAGAGAGAAACTAGGATTGCACACAAAATAAATTGCGTAAATAGAAACAAAGGTGTGTACTCTGATGTAGATATACATTTTATTTTTAGACTTTTGGGGTATAAATTATATTTTAAAAATGTAATTTAGTTTCTTTCTTTTATTTAAAATAAATTATTATGATTATTAATTATAATCATGACACATTCAGACAAAAAACTACCCTAAAACATGTATTAAATTATCCATTATAGGTTATTACTTATATATACAGTATATTATATACTCAAATATTGACAAACTAAAGTAAACTGACCGGTAAAGAAAGTATAGACACACACACACACACACACACACACACACACACACACACACACACACACACACACACACACACACACACACACACACACAGTGTATTGTGGTGTTCTTACCGAGTCAGAATCGGCTCTTATAAGGTTAAATATTTTCTAGAACATGCTACAGGATGCAGGTCATCACAGCTGACAGATGAGGGTGTGGCGGTGATC